ATACAAAGAGAGAATCTAATAATCGTGAAAAGATGGCGGTGGTGTCCGAGAGAAAAAAGAGATATTGATTGTGTTGTTTGTTTTGATGATGAGCATGTTGGTGACGATGACAGCGACTCAATAGATTGATATGTGAGTTATGGATCCATGTCTAAAACCGGGACCAAAACCTCTTAGTTGCCACCAAAATCCTCATGTTCTTCCTGTTGCGACTAATCGTTACCATCAAGGTTGCTCTAAAGCTGACTGTTGTCGTAGTGGTCATGGAAAAGGCATTTCCCATCCCCATTAAATAATCTCTATCAAATTCGTAATTTTGAATTATGTGTAAACAACATTTTTAATATTATTAAATAAAGAATATCTAATATTTTTATTTGTCAAATAACAATTTTTCTCTAATATTATTATATAAATGTCCTATTATTTATTTACATAATTGTGTTTTTTTTTAATGTACGAGACATGAATATATTTATCAATGGTGATTGATAATGCAATATTTTTTCAATAAGTTTATATTATATGTATAAGTTAATTAATTTACCATTATCATTAATCTCGATAAAATATCTATAAATACTTCTTGGTGTGTTTGATTAATGAGCGAATTAACAAAAATAATCATTTTTCCATACGATCTTTTTAAATAGGTTTTAATTCATTAAACCCGTTGAAATCAACATGTTCAATATCGTTTAAATTGCTCATATCAAACCCATCTTTAATCAAACTATATTTCATCCGACCTCATTCCTATACTTCTAAAAACTCAGTCGTTCTAAATGATTAACATTTCGATTGGATTATAAACAGATAAAGGGGATTTTCCAATTTGTTCTTAAAGCCATCGAGCAAACAAGATCTCTGAGTCCGGTAAAAGTATGTTAGGAACGTTATTTTCTTAGTAGTATCTTCCAGTTTAATTGAAGCAGTGAAAAAGGAAAAAGAAAAATCCAGAGTAACATTCTCACATGTCGTGCGGGGCAGTTTCTGAGGAAATCACTTTCAGAATAATTAAAAAAGAATCCGAGTTGGGCCAGCAGCGCACCACCCACATGGCACCTTTTCCTTTTTTCCCCCCTCCACTTTATTACCCACAAGAAGCCTAATATTAGAAAAGTGAATGACGAAAGCTGTCGTCACCACAAATATATATACCAAACTGGTGACCTCCCCGACAATGTAAATTAATTTAAATTTTTGTTTAAGTTATTAATATAAATATGATACTACATAATATCATAAAAAATAATATTTTAGTTACCAGTAGATGATTTCAAGCAAAATAGATGTTAATTGTGTCCATGACTCAAGTAAGAATACAAAAATATCAAGATTGAAAAAATCGAAAATTTAAAAAGAAATTAATGGGGGAAAAAGACTATTGACTTCTCCTTCCTCAAAGAGTCACGCTTGGGAACTTGCAGGATCCATAACCTGAAATGCGAATCAAAGTAAGTTTTTTGACCTACAAGTCTTGAAGTATGAATTACTCTCTTCCCTAATTTTAATGGAATAGACTAAAATGCATTGACTTACTTGGATCCTTAATGGTCTGCGTAGCCAGCCCATTGAAGTAACAGCTACCTCCACTTTTCTTGAACTGAGCCCAATATGAGCTGAACGCGTAACTCGCGTGCCAAATAACTGAGTCGGGTTTGTGACACGCCCTCCCGCGTTGGAGCGCCTCGCAAGTTTTATTCCCCTGAGAGCACGCGTAAGTCAGAGCCGACGCTAACTCACTCGTGTTTGCCCCTTTTGCCGCCACGCACCATATCTTCCCCTTGTACGGTTCGTTGTTGTCCGGCGACGGCAGTGGCCTTTTGTACTCCGACTTCGCCGTCTGTCCTGACAGATCAATTTCGTAAATGTAGGATCCGCTCGGGTACAACAAACCGAAATGTCGCTCCGTGCCCGGACCCGGTTTCTGGTTCTCGTTGTAAAGGGCGAAGATGAATGCGGGGAGGACCGAACCGGGTCGTGCTGGGGTTCCCACGGGCGGTCTCGCCGTCAGTTTGTTGATTACGTTTCGGTTGTAGGTGGCGGCGTTGTAAATATTGGCTCCAATCTGGTCGAAGTCCCCGCCATTGGGCCAACCAGTTTCGGCGAGGAAAACTCGGATGTTCGGGTATCCTAATCGCTTCATGGCGAAAATTAGAGCGTCTATCATTTGGTCAAACAGATTGTGGTAGGTCAGATTTGAAACCGGGTCAGTGATGGTAATGTTGGTTGACTCGAGCAGAGCATAGTTCAGATCGATGTTTTGAGGTTGCGTTGCCCAAGCGAAATACGGGTAGACATCGACGAAAAGAAACGATTTGGTTCGGTTCAAGAACTGCAACATCGGCTTCATTATCGGAAGAGCAATATCAGACCGAAATGTCCCGTTTGACGGCGGGAATGACGATTCAAGGACATCCATTGCCAAGCTGGTACCTACTTTCACCTTACGGATTCCATGGGTTTTCAGGGAATTCTTGATTCTGCGCATGGCTGGTACGAGGTTGGATCTCGTTTCCGGCGCGCCGTCGGTGAGGATTTCGTTGCCGACGAGGAGATACCGGATTTTGGTCCTCGGGTAGTGAGGGACAACATTGTTTTGGACCCAGTTATCGGAGAAAGCTTGGCTTTTAGAGACGTTGACGATGATTTCATTAGGTACCATAATAGAAACCTGCATCTCGGTGTTCTTGAGAGCATTGAGGATGTCCGGGTTGGCACCATAGATTTTGACTCTTGAAGCTTTCAGCGATTTGATTAGCTCCACCGACTGTGCAGGAGACGGCAGGTTATTTCCTAGCTCACCATAGTTAACGCCCACTTTGCTTGAGATCTCTGCAGCTGTAACAAAAAAAAATATATGGGTTTTGATTGGTCAGGGAAAAGAAACCTGAAAAGAACAGGAAGCATCTCACCATCAGGGGAAGAAACTTACTTGAAAGAGAAATAAAGAGAAAGAGTATGAATAGAGGAACAACATCCATCCTCCTTGTTCCTCTGCTTCTGCTCTGTAGTAGCTTGGAGAATCCGGCTAAACAAGAAAAAAAGGTACTAGGCAGAGCAGCAAATGAAGAAGGGAGAGAGTTGAGTGGAGGTCACGTATAATTATAATATGAGTTGAAAGGATTAAGATAAGGAGGGAGTTGAAGTGAAGTGAAGTGAAGTGAACCAGTAATAAGAATGTGAAGATTAGAGGGAAATCTAAGGAGGAATTTCACTTTATTATATTCGTTTCAGTTTTTGGGAGGATAAAAGGAAAGAACAGAGACAGCATTACATTACATCAGTGGTATTGTGGGTGGGCCTTCTCTTTTGCGAGATCCTCGACTTTGCTTCGTTTCTTGGGAGGGGTGAGTAAAGTATGAGAGAGAAAAAGTTGAAGGAAGAAATAAATATATAAATACCCAGAAAAAGTAGGAGCTGTACGAAGAGAGAAATTTATAGCCGTTGTGGGTTTAGGCCTTTTCATTAATTGTCTTTTTACACTTTTTTCTCAACGATTAAATTTATTGTCCGCATCTTCTCGAAATTAATCTGTGAGTCTACGGAGTGGAGAAGTAAATAAAAACTAATTTAAGTTTATAGCTAATCAGAGTGATTATCATCAAATTCTTTTATTAAAACATTCTTTAAAAAAATATTTCATCGGATGGGTGACATGTGTATTGTTTGTGGGTGTGTGTGCATATATATATATATATATATATATAAAGCATGTAGTGGAAAAAAGCAAAACCCAAAATGAGGAAGTTTCTTTGGCCGAGAAGAGAAAAGATGGATTATTACTTTCTATTACTAAAAGCATGAAACGTTGAAGTGAAAGCACATGAGCGGAAGCTGGTTTGGACGGGTACTTTATTACTACTACTGGATTTCTCTCTCACACCCACCCAAAAAGAAGTGCTCTGAAACGTCTGCTTATTTTTCTGATCGTGCGGGCCCGATTTCCAAGTCGGTAAAATTTCAACAAATTATTTTTTTAAAACTACATACTACTTTTTATAACACATTAAGAATTAATAATTCTAGATGAAACACAGTATTCGTTCTCCATACTGAGATAAACAAATAAATATATATATGTTGTCGGCCACTCTATATGGATACAATTGACCAATCAATCAATTAACTAATTAATTAATTGTTAACAACGGGATGTAAATGTTAAAATTTATACGTTTTATTTAAAAGTAATGAATTTAAATTTTAATATAAAAAAATATATTCTATGATAATTTAGTAAATTTTAAGTGGAAGAGAACATTTCATAATGACTCAAATCTCTTACTTAAAATAGTCCGAACGAAATCTAAAATTTTTTATACCTAAAAAAAGTAAAGTAGGTAAGGCACTTTTACATATATTTTCCAAAAAAATATATATATATGATGTCATGGTACATCTCCATACTTGAATACCATTAAATACAAATAATTGTTCTTTCAGTGTCTTATTTTCATGTTCTTAAACAAATCATAAAAAGAAATCAGGTAGGGGAAATCTATAGCCCCAATTCTATACGTCTTACATTATTGAGCATACAAGCGTTTTCCACCACTTACTCTCCACAAAAAGAACAAAGAAAACATTTTTTCACCACTAAGCTAAGCCAATAATTTCATAACTCACCCACAAAAGGCAAAGTTCACTAGGCCCAAAATCGTTTGGGTTGAACCTTCCCCAGCCCATAATAACAGCCTAAATCTTCCATGTTTCACCCCTCAGTGTTTGCCCAATCGCACCAGACAATGCCAGCCATCTTCCATCGCTTGCTCGCCTCCTCCGCTCTCAAAAGATCCAATCTTCTTTCTCGTCCACTCTCCATCATAATCTCCACCTCCACCCACCCCCTCACCCACCCGTCACTCTATCTCCACCGTTTCATTTCTTCCTCCCCAACCCAGACCACAGACCCCGACACCCCTTCCTCACCCACAGCCGCCGTGCGAACCCAAACGCGTACTCCACTCGAAACCCAGTTCGAAACATGGATCCACAAACTCAAACCCGGCTTCACCCACTGCGACGTCGACGAGGCGTTGCGGGCCCAATTGGACCCCGATCTCGCCCTTGACATCTTCCGCTGGACGGCTCAGCAGCGCGGTTACAGACACAACCATGACACCTATCTGACCATGATCAAACTCCTCGCTTCCGGCAAGCGTTATCGCCAAGCGGAGACCCTTATCGAGGAGGTATTCGCTGGAGCCTGCGAAATCAACGTCCCTCTCTACAACTACATGATTAGATTCTGCTGCGGCCGCAAGTTCATGTTCAACCGTGCTTTTGACATTTACAAGAAAATGTTGGGGTCTGATCACTGTAAGCCAACTCTTGAGACCTACACTTTGCTGTTGAACTCGTTGCTTAGAAGGTTTAATAAGTTGACTGTGTGTTATGTGTATCTCCACGCGGTTAGGTCGTTAACCAAGCAAATGAAATCCTTAGGGATTATACCGGATACTTTGGTGTTGAATATGATAATTAAGGCTTATGCTAAGTGTCTAGAGCTTGATGAAGCTATTAGGGTTTTCCGTGAGATGGGTTTATATGGATGTGAGCCAAATGCATATAGTTATGGTTATATCATGAAGGGATTGTGTGAAAAGGGGAGAGTAGGGCAGGGTTTAGGGTTTTACAAGGAAATGAAGAAAAAAGGATTGGTGGCGCCTAGTAGTTGTTACATGATTTTGATATGTAGTCTTGCAATGGAGAGGAGATTTGAGGATGCAATTGAGGCTGTGTCTGATATGTTGGGTAATTCTATGGCTCCGGATTTGCTGACATACAAGACGTTGTTAGAAGGATTATGCAGGGAAGGGAAGGGGAATGATGCTCTTGCCTTTCTTGAGGAATGGAGGAAGAGGGATGTCATGATGGGTCAGAAGAATTACAAGATTTTGTTGAATGAGTTGCATTTTCTAAACAGGGAGTAGTGGCTCTTCAGCCACAGGAGAAATGTTAGAACAGTGATACAATGATGACCGAGTCAGTAGAAACCGACAAAGTTCAAGAGTTTGTGGGTGAACTTATGACTGATGGAACCCATACTAGGTGGTTCTTGAGGTCTTCCACTAACGACTTCATTCCATGCTTCCAGCTCTTCTAACTCATTTTGGTATGTTTTGAAAACTTGGGTTTTACGGAATTCTCTCTCTGCTTAGGTCATCATCTGGGATTTTTGTGGGAAGCACAAAACTAGAAACATGATGTGCTGAAATAATAGATGACTCAATCGAGCAGAACTTGTTTTGGTGAACGACACATCTTATACGGCTCAAAATTCCAAACCGTGTCTGAAATTGTTGGAGACATTGGTAGCCTGGTAAAGGTTGGAGGAGTCTTGCAATTTTTTTCTTCTACTACCCAAGCTTAAGTGTTTAAGATATGAAAGATCTTGCTGGATATATGACTTTAAGATGCAGATTGGTATGTATGTATTCAAAGATCAAACCTTTGTCTTTGTATTTTCAGACCCAAAATTCTTTGCAAATAAAGAGTAAGTTCTCGAAATGAGTTGGCTTGTTCCAACAAAATTCTTGGAAGATCTATCTCATGTTTGGTAATACATGGTACAACTCTGTGAGGACTTGAAGGTCATTCTTTTCGTCGTTAATGATTAATCTCATATGAATTATTTGTGTGGAAGGATAAATTTTGTTTCCAATTTTTTACGTTCACCCTGAAGAAACCAACAATCTAAAACAAGGTATGAAGAATTTATGCTCAGTGTCCTACATAAAAAATATATGTATTTTATTTTTTAATTTATGTGTATATGTATGTACTTGATTGTAATAGTATGCAAAGGTTGTTTATGCCTAATTTCTCCAACCAAGTCTTGTAAAATCACACCTTAAATGAGTGAAGAAGGATGGATTAAAATTTGAATTAAAACTCAATAATTTATCAATATTTTATTTTACTTTAGTTCCATCAAAATTTTGTCATAAAATCCAATTCTATCAGAATTATATATAAACATATTATCTATATTTCAAATTAAAATATATACATTTAAGTTAAAAAATTTATTTTATATATGTACACTAAATTACCATATATACTATATATTTAATTAAAACTAAAAAATATGTTATACATAAAATCAAATTGAATTTTACGATTTTTTTTTACTTAACCCGGTTCAATCTGAATAAAATTAAGAATTAGTTCAATCTAGGATACCAAATTTGAAAAAAGTATAATTCGAATTGATTCGGGCCGGTCAGATTCTTGTTCATCCAACAGTTGGCGCTAGTGACGAAAATGTCGCAGGTGTATAATGTATGGGCTTTGACCCTCACTTCCTATAGGCTGCCCATCAAGCAAGTCCAACTATCACCGTTCATATAAACTGAAGGAAGCAGCAGCACCCGGCAGAAACAGGTAGAAGTAGGAAAATTCGACAGAGACCGATAGAATTGGACAAGATGCATTTCCACTGTTCGCTGATGCTCGCTGCTATTTTGTTTTTCTTTGTTCTCTCATCACCTGGTATTGCTTTATCTCTTTCGTATCAAATATTCTATGTCAACATTTTTTTTCTTTAGATCTGATCTCTCTTTGTAAGGACCTATTAGAAGTCATGATCTCTTTCAGACTTCAAAGAAATTTAGTTCCACTAATGTCTTTCATTCTTATTTATCTAAGCTTATGCGAAGAAGTCAGGCGATGTAACGGAGCTGCAGATCGGCGTTATGGTATACTGCTTGTTTTCTCGCTTTAGCTATGAACTTTAAATGCTTCTATGGTTTGAAAGATTTCATTTTCTTAAAGCTGTGGAACTTTAATTTTAGTTTTCATTTCAGTGATTTCACTTTTGATTTCTGATGATAGACGAAGGTATAAGATTTCATGTTTTTAGAAATTTTTACAGTAACACGTTTATCGTTTTTTTTTTTAATGTAGAAAAACAATTATACGGTGAAATCTTAATTTTCTTTTAACCTAAGCGTCTTATATACGAAAGATAAAGCACCTTCTTTTTCACGGTTTAAAAGATAGAAATCTCAACATATAAGCCATTTCTTTTTTCGTTAGGTTTTATTAGATGTCTGCCTTCCTTTTGTCTTGTTCATTTTAGTTTTACATATTCTAGAATTATAGTAGAATGCATTATTCTTGCATGGATGCCTCTGCAAGTATTTCTTTCTCAAGCTTTATTTAACATGATCATTTGTTTGTTTCGTAGTTGTTACTTATTTCTATTCTATGTTTTCTTTTTAACTTTTACAGCATAAGCCTGCATCTTGTGAACTCCAGGCTCATAAAGGTGATAAAGTCAAAGTACACTATCGGGTGAGATTCTTTGAAGCCTCCGATTCAGTTGCTTATTTTAATTTTTTCAATAATTTTTCTTCTCAAAATAATATCATTCTGGAAGAATTAAAGACATGATGACCTCTGTCTTATGACCATCTCTGTTGCTGGGCTTATGTTAAGTTGTCTAATTTTATGTTTAAATTCATTAAACCTTTTCTGGTCGGCACTCTTTTTTGCAGTAACTGGAGTTAGTAATTATATGCTTGTTGAGTATAATGTTTTCTGTTCAAGGTTTGCAAGTAACTTGCTCCAATATCTTGTGAAGGTAGCTTCATGGTACATTGGAACTATAAGCAGGCATGATGGGGATTAAGGGTGACTGTTTTAGTAAACTAGTTATTGGCTTATATTTTTTTAGGATACAGCAATATCTTGTTATTTTTTTAGGATGGCACTTTTTTTTATTTCAAAAAAGAAATTATATCAGACAATCCATCTCTTTAAGTTGTGTTGTCACTGCAATTCCCAGGCAAGGGTTTCGAGCCAGAGCTTCAACCAAGCACATGGAATAGCTAATTGAATTATAGATTGTTGATGTTGTTACTGTTTCAGCTATGTCTTTTTAAAAGAATCACTAGAACAACCAATATTTAAGAAAAGGAATTATCAGGAGGATGGTCCTTATATATCATAAAGATCGAATTTGGAGAGGGAAAACCAATCAAGACATCTCACTCTTCATAGCCATGTGTGGTGAAAATTGTGAGTTGGGGAAGAGGCTTTCCATAAAGATATGAATTTGAAGAGGGAAAACCAATTAGGACATCTCACTCTTAATATCCACGTACAGTGAAAATTGCAAATAGGAAAAGAGGCTTTCCATATGCCTACCTTATCCATTGACAGTAATGCTTTTGCATAAAATTAGTATCACATTACGTGAACGTTGATTGTTGGGAAGGACAAAACCCTTATGTATTTGCTGTAGGCTGTCATACTTTTCTTTAAAAGAATGGTGCTTTTGCATCTGATGTATGCCAATCTGTCAAGAGCCTTGGACATTAGCTGTGACGATAGATGGATGAGAGAGATAGAGAGAAGAAGTAGGGAGAGAGAATAAGAGAATAAGAGCAGGATTGAGAGAGAGAGAGAGAAAGAGTGTTTGTTCGGTAAGTACTTTGCTGGACCCTACATTCTATTGACATTTGAATATTAATAGGCCTTGTCGTGCTGTAGCAGAATAACAGAATAATGGCCACTACTATCCTTAGACTCACTCAACCAACTAAACTCACTTCACTTTCTACCAACCATACATTTAAATCTATTCAGGTCTTGCATCTTTGGTAATCCTTCAGAGGGGCCTGTACTAACCAATCATAATTCTAATCCCTTGCAATAATTTATCCCACCAGTGCAAGATACATATAGTTTTCCGCAAAGGATGAGCAGGGGAACTTCTTGTTGGGCATGAATGCCATGTGAGATGGTTGTTATTCTGAAGAAATTTTTATCAGCGTCAACAAGTGACTGAATTTTTCATCTGTATATTCACTTCTGGCTTCTGTGAGTATGAACTTTTCTTGAATTTTTGAAAAAGGAGTTTGTTAGTTTGTTAATTAATTTCTCCAGCCCCTGGATTTCAAATAATTTTACAGAAGTTATTATTACCGGAGGCTTTTGGCTTTTTTGTGCTTCATGGATGTTTCTGTTGTAGGGCATGCTTTTTCCATAAGCTGTTTTGGTTTCTGTAACATCGTCTTTTTCAAGGGTATCTTTATGTCATGCTGCTTGCTATGACTTCTCAATTTTAATTTGAAATCACTGTACATTTTCTTGCTGCAAATACAGAAAGAAAAATATTGAACATGTAACCATTATGATCTTACAGGGAAAACTTGTTGATGGAACTGTTTTTGATTCAAGTTTTGAAAGGGGGGATCCCATTGAGTTTGAGGTTGGCACAGGTCAAGTAATCAAAGGTGTGTGCACTATGTTCTGTGTTTTAAAGACACCAGTAATTTATTAATTTTTAGATGCCTAAAAAATTCCCTTGCAGGATGGGACCAAGGACTCTTGGGAATGTGTGTTGGTGAGAAACGAAAGTTGAAAATACCTGCAAAGCTTGGTTATGGCGAGCAGGGTGCTCCACCCACTATCCCTGGTAATATTCTCTCATTTCCTTTTATTATGTAAATCTCTTGTTTATTTCAAAGAGAAAATTTATGTCTCTTTTTGTAATGGCAGTGATTAGATGATCTCTATTTCCTAAGCCATGAGTAGCGAACAGTGAGCTTTTGTTTACTTTAATGGGTTAGTAAAACTGCTTATTTCAAAAAAAAAAAAAAAAAAAAAAAGGGTTAGTACAACTCCTGCCCTGCTAGTGATGCTCTGATTGAAGTCATTTACACTAAGCTTGGTTAAAAACTAGTAAAGGAATGTAGAAGATGGGAAAGAGAAAAGGAAAAAAAAAAAAGTTTCTTCTAATGGAAAAGAAGAATTAATGTTTTATAGAGGGAAAGGGTGACTGATTAAGTCATTCAATGAGGTCTAATCCACGTGCGAGTATGCCTATTCAGAACAACCACACTGATGACCTCGTGCAGTTCTAGGAAAGAGCAGCAGAGTCAAAGCCAACTAGATCCAATAATTTACTGAAATAATCATAAATCATATATTAGAAATTAAGACTAATAATGTGACTCTTTCTTTAGGTAAGAAAAAAGTCAATGGTCATTCAGCATACATTACCTACCTCCCAATGGGAATTTCTTTCTTTTAAAAATACTTCCGAATTTGATTAGTTTCTTTTAGATTCCACCTGACCTCATGAGGTGAGAATTCTCCCTTTTCAAGTAGAGGAGTGCTCCTTGAAAATGAAGGAGTAAGCGTGACTAAACATTAATAGAATAAACTAAAAAAAAATTCTTGAAATTTTCTTTTCCTTTTTCCTCCTTTTCCCAATTTAGAAGAATTGAAAAATTAGTCTTGGTAAAGGGAGGAATGCTTGCAATTTCTACATTCTCTTTACTAATTTTTATTTTTTATCCAAACAATTGAAAAAGAAGATTGAACATCCCTTTATTTCCTTTTGTTTCTCTCCACATCCCTTAATTCAAATATAGTGTTAGTAGCTTATCGCTTTTGGCAAGGCTGATTTGGTCATTATTGTGCTTATTCAAGTTTAGAAGGTACAGAACTATCTATTTGACTGTATATGATAAGAACTGATGGTTTTGTACCGTATAATATAAGTTAAAGCCTAAAGCATTATATTTGAGTTAATTACTTTGCTTCTCTGCCTTTATACTACTTGGTTTTGTTTTTTGGATTATAG